TCAGGTTATTGTAAAATATTGTGTTCATGTGGTCCCTTTTATGTTGGAAAGACTCGTCGTTGCATTTGATAAAGGGTGACTAAGCCAAAAGCACCTACAGATACTGTTGGGTCCAAAATCAGAACTAGCTGAGCATACTGCAGAAACTGGAATTGGGATTGAATTGTCTTAAACTTGTCGTTTTACTGATTATGGTATGTCTGTGGCTAAGGACAAAATTATAGGGAACATCGAAATCGACCAACTAGACAACACTTTGAATGTAAAGAATCTTAGCAAGAAATTAAGTTAAAACTACTTATGATTAATTAATAGACTCATTGGTAGAGAGAATGTTGAGCTGCCTGCAAAAAGGGGGCTACTCACATAATACTTCTTTTCTTGGTTCTAATTGCATTCACTTTTGTGTACTTTTTAGTTCATTCTTTCTCTCTCACATGAAGACAAATAGCTCAGCAACATAGCCAGACGTGTGTCTGATCTTGCGCAATTGGTGTGATGGTTGGAATAAAAAATACATATAGAGACACAATGATGGTGGTCATCAAACTTTGATGGCCGAGAACAGACTAATTAATTTAAGATATAGCTGCTGGTTTCGTACATATGCGAACACACTCGAGTGTATGCACAGACAAACGGGCTCATATGCTTCGAGGTTGACATATTACTTGAACCAACCAAATCTCTATATCGTAGATACGAAGAAGAAGGTAGTGTGACCTGTTTGATTTCAGTCTCATTTAGATCTATGGTGTTGGCTTGAACTCGTTGTATTACTTCTTCTTTATATCCGTTTCCAAGAAATGTTTGAGTTAGTCTTTCCAGTTCTTCGTCCCAGAACTCAGAATCATTGATTCGTAGGTTTCTTATGACCATACTCCTGAATATTCTTATCTTCATTCCATAAGTATGACGAGACAGAAAGTTAAGAATTATTCCTGCATGCGATTTCTTTCGGACAAGCCGTTTCTTGAGAGTCTCCTCTGAGCGAATTAACTCTCTTATATGTGGAGGAATAAGCGAATGTATGCTTATATACTTTGTGACAATGCATTGGCCACGGTATCTCGCTTGTCATCCCTCACACCCATGCAACTGAATATGTAATATTCTATCAGCTTGAAAAATAAATAAAGAGATTATTTATTGATTGTGCAGGTGTCATGGAGTTACTAATGTTCAGAATGAAAGAAAAACAGGATAAGTGGGCTTTTTGGCTGCCAAGATCCTTGAAAGTGTACTTCGACATCTTTCTTTTTCTAAATTCGGCACCTTTAAAAAATATCTTTAATCCCTTTGCTTACTTTTAATTGTTACAAATTTATTTTTAAATTCTTTCCTTTCGAATTTGTCTTATTATTATAAACTTTAATCTTTTTTTATCTTATCTATTTCTACCCGTTTACCAACCGTTACCGATTGTCAGACCTTGCTACTCTGCCGTGGAGCCTCTACAAGACCGTGAGGATCGTGACGCTGCTCTCGTTCGTATCACCTCCCTAACTAAACAATTATCTCACACTAGCCAGGCAACCTCACGCCTCGTTGGTGAGGCACTCACTTGCCTTTCCAGTCTGGTTGCGAAGGGCCCCAATGACACTGGCTCTATTGATATTGCAACTACTTTGAAGCGCAACCAGCATTATCAGCACAATTTATCTGGTTCTTCTTTCCTTAATCTCACTGGAGGGGGCAACAATAATATCCAATTTTCACCCAGCAGTGTAAATGCGGACTTTACTCCACTGGCTGGCTGTCTGTGCGAGGCCCGTGCCGTAGCGCTTGACTCTGCTGGTCTGGCGCGCCGCCTCTGGGCAACTCGGCAAGCAGTTGCTCTATATGATGCTGGCCAGACGAGAGGAGACAATCGACAACGGTTGCCGAGTCCGCAAGGTGCCGGGTCAAGTGGAGATGGAGGACGTAAAAGGCGTACAGCTCCCAATCATTGGGATCAAGATGAAGAGAGGCTTTTTGGTAGGATTGACTGACCCTTATTTCTGTATACTATCTATAGCTGTTTTGATTTATCATAATTTTGATAATCTTTTGAAAGGGGGATTTGAAAGACATAACTTATGTTGTTCCTTTCATCATTGTGCCAACGTGTTTTCCTTATTCCACCCCAGACTAAGTTTATTCTACTACTAGGCATCCCAA